ACACTCAAAAATTACATAATGCATTACAAAAAGAAGAAAAATAAGGGAAAAGATACCAAAAGAAACAGTGTACATTTAATAAGTGGAACTCCTCGTTTCATTTCCTTGATGTTAAGCCAGATAGAAGAGAAAATGGAACGCTGGTAAAGTCGATTTACCGAAAGCCAACATTCACTGGGCAGTACACTAACTTCAACAGTTGGGTACCTTTAGGCAGAAAGAGAAATCTTATTCATTCCTTATGCTCCAGAATTCGTAAAATCTGTTCTGCAGAGACAATCGATAGGGAACTAGATAACCTTCGATCAAATCTCCTTAACAATGGTTATCCTACAAGGTTCATTGAACGTAACATCAAGAAAGAATCCGCCCCTAGACAAACCACAGTACCAAAGAAAAAACTGTTTATGAGCGTAGCATTCAAAGGTGACACCATTTCGGAATTGATTAAAATTCGTTTATCTAAATGTATTAAACGTACTTTCCTGCAGCTGACTTGCAATTAGTTTTTACCAGCAGAAATATGATTAGACAATGCGTCAAGGATAGATTACCGCTTTTGTCCACATCTATGTGCATTTACTCATTTACCTGTTTTTGTGGAGCTGATTATATTAGGCGTTGTAAGCATAATCTCCGAAAACGTGTTGCTGAACACTATCCGGTTTGGTTAATGAAAGGCGAACGCAAAACTGCGAAATCATCTATTTGTGATCACCTGTTAGAGTCTGGTCATTTAGCCCCACGTGATTCATCTTTCAAAGTTATCTACATGGCAAAATCGAATCGATCCAAAAGAATACGTTTTCTTCACTTATGCATAGCTAGCCGAAGCTTTAGCTTTACATGAACAGAAACCTAAATTATGTGTTCAAAAACGTTTTGTCAAACCCCCTTTCTTTACCTTGGTCATAGTAATGTTCATTCTAGTTTTCCTTTTATTTTGTTTTACCACTTGAATTCATTCCACTTCACTTCACATCTTCATTCTTATCGTAATCGTACTCCTAATTTTTAAAATTTTTAGACAAAACTTGACATTTTTAAAACATGTTGGATAACAATTCACTTATAAAACAATTTTTAATCATTTTGTAATTTATTCACTTCAACTCTACCCCTTAGAACATTTTAATTATCGTTATTCTTATCACTTATATATATGTATATTGACTGAGCAATTATTTAGTGCCACTTAATAACCATCTTTTTTCTGTAATATAAATACGACTGACTGTACAGTTGGCTTGAAAATGAAGTCGTTGAATGGAGAAATTTCTTTGCTGAACAAAAAAAAAAAAACAACAACCGTGTTTTTACTTATGAGTTCATGTAATACGCAACGAAAAATTGGATATTCCTGTTGTTTTGGTTTGTTTTGCTATGCATTTTCTATTCCCCCTGTTTTAGTAAATAAATTTTATGATAGGAAGAAAATATACTTAACTCTTCTTTTGAAGAAGTATAGTTTCAAATGGAAAGATGTTTACTGTGGTAGGCGGATAAAATTACTATTACTATTATTTTTATTACTCAATCACGCAAATGTCCGGTGATTTGTTATGTTTTAGTATGGTGAATAGTTCTCAAGGACTCTTCTACTAAATATATATACATATATTTATGTACCAACTTGTTTTATTATTATTATTATGTTATAATTCATGATTGCCTCACTGAGTTCATTAATGAATAGACAGTGGGATAAAGTATTCAGGACTATTAAATTGATTGATATTGGCTTGAACTAGAAATTTACCAGAAAAAAAGTAAACCAACAAAAAATATGAAATCAACTGTCAGGTAACCATGTTTACATAGGTATTGACCGTCTTCTCATAATGCTACTATTATTATTATTATTATATCATTTATTTCCTAGAGGAACATAGGGCTTCAGCTGCGCATCTCGATTGTCTTCTGTTTTCTGCCAACTTTTTCACCTCGCTTCAAGTCAGCCCACATGCTTTCATCTCCTCTTCACATGACCTTTTCCATATTACCCTTTCACTGACGACCAACTCGCCACTTCCATTCAGTCGGGTTCCACTCAAGCGATGACTTGTCTAGTGATGTCACTTGATGGTTTCTTCAGAGTATGTGGCAAGCCAATCCATCTCCATTTCTTCCTGCCTATTTGTTTCACAATCGTTTCCTGCTGTGTTGGTTCGCTCATGGCCAGAGATCCCTGTTGGTGATCTTTTCTGGTCGGCCATCTGATCTTGAATGGTATCGAGCGAAGACAACTGTTCATGAAGGCTTGTAGTTTGTTTGAGATGCCCTTTATGACGCGCCCAAACTTTGATCCGTACAGTAAGTAGCACTCACTCACTTCACATTGGAGTTGAAGATCTGGATCTTATTTTCATGCTGAGTGATGTTGTCCTCCAAAGAGACTTGAGAGTAATGAAAGCTTGTCTTGCTTTATCGATTCTGGTTTTGATATCTTCATCAGTTCTGTCCGCCTGTAGTTGAAATGATGCTTCCCAGGTGGGTGGGTAGGTGAAGGAGATTGTTTCTTTTAGGTTCCTCCCATTTATGTTGATTGTTTTCTGTTGTTGTTGCTGTTGCTGCTGGCCAGGAATCTTCATCACCTCTGTTTTCTCTATGTCCATCTGAAGGAAGTCTTATCTTTGATGCTTTTTCTGCCAGCTTGTTGCTTTTTACTTGCATATATTCCAGTTTGTGGGAAATCAGACATATATCGCATCGGCGAAGTCGAGATCCTCCAAGTTTTTTTGCGAGTCCATTTTATGCCTGTTTCCTCATTTCCTGTTGTCTGTCGCATTATCTTAGAACGCTATTCAAATTTATAAAAAAAGGACTAATTGTTTTGAATTTTTGAAAAGAAGACTTCCTCAATGCACTATCAAATGGTAAGATGGACGTTTTAACCTGAAGTGTAAAGTAGTATCTGAAAAGGTGAAATTGGATTTTTATAAATCTTGTCCCTCAAGTCACACACACCAGAGAGCATTTTACAAATTTCTTCGATTTTCTGAACTTCAACTAAATTTTTCAGATCTTACGAAATCTCACATTGACAATTCTAATGAGAAGTTATGTGGATTAACGGAACTCCATTTATTGATACCAAGTATATTGTCTGATGTCTCAATAATTTGCCAAATCAAGTTCATTAATAAAGTTATATTTGTAAAATCTCAGCGAAATTGAAATGATTAATTCCTACGTTTCGTTCAGCAATCTGGTAAATATAAGAATGAAAGAGCATAAACAATGTCTAAAGGTGGTTCCAAAGAGCTCTGCAGACTTGAAGAAGCTAGAAAACAACTCAGCGATTGCACTACATTCAATAGAAACGGGACACAAAATCGACTTTGATAAGACTAAGGTTTTACAGAAAGGTTTTGGTTCATATCAAGAAAGACTGACTGCAGAAGCCCCTACAGTTTAAACAGACATGAAGGTGTCATGTTAGCTGATGCATGACAAAGCCTGACTATTTCTATCTTTGTATTGTTTAAATACTTACTGCTGATCGGTAATATATTTCTTATATGAATTGAATAATAATTCCTCTAAATACAAATTCCTGAATTCCGCCCTCTCTGTGTTTTGGTTGAATTCTTGTAATTCGGTCATCTCAAAATACTAATACTACGATTAGAAATAATTACAAAGGTGTAGTTTTTCTTCAGTAGCCCTGGAAAGACTAAGGGGGGAGCAATACAGAATCATAGGCAGAAGGCGAGAGTTAACGAATTGTTAATTCGACGTCCAGGAATGGAATCTTTGATTCATTTTCAACTTCTATTGTGAATTTAATTTTAGGATGGCAGTTATTAAAAAGTCCTGTAAGACACATCCTAAAAAACTATAAAAGTGTCATCAACGTATCTTTTGTACAGCAGCAATTTGTCCATTGTTGATTTTAATATGTCCTTTTCCAGGCTGTCCATGAAACAGTCTACCCAAAGTGGGCCATGGGGAGAGTCCATAGCAATCCCGTCTTTCTCTCTGTAGATAACGTCGTTGAATGTGAATTGTACGTTTAGTGTCCCCCTTAATCACAACTCTTTTTCAGGTATGAGGTTGGTATTCCGATACTCAAGAAATAAACTGTGTCTGTGAGCGGCACATTCGTAAATAGAGATTCCACGTCCAGTGATAACATTTGTTTACCATTTACATTCAAGTCTTTTATGCACTCAATAAATTCAAAAAGTAGAGTAGTTAACCAATAAAATCCCTCCTACAAACCAACATTTTATTAAATAATTTGAAAGAGGTTACTTCATTCACTTCACTTATCTAGGGAGCATTGTCTCAACTACATGCAGTCGGAACGGACGAGGATGTCAAATCAAATGAGAATCGGGATGGCGAGAAACACATTCATCAACCTGAAACCAATCTGGATACCAATCTTCGTCACTCAGCCAGCCAGCATCAACAACAAAATTCAGTAGGATTTTCAATACAAACTTCAAGTCAGTCAGTTCTTCTATACGGATCAGATCAGAAACTTGGCGGGCGGGTCACAAAGAATATTTCCAACAGGCTGTTGCAGACATTTATCAACCAACAACTGTCTTTGCTCTATACTGAAGATCAGATGGCCAGGCCGGAAAGAATCACCAGCAAAAAACTGTGGGAACAAACAAACAAAGCAAGAACCAATCGCCCAACAAATATGCAGGAGAAAGTGGAGATGGATTGAACACTCGTGGCTGAGGAAGCCGCTGGGTGACATTGCGCGCGCGTCAGGCCATTGCTCGAGTGGAACCAGGCCGAAAGGGAAGTGGAGAGTGGGACGTCAGTGCAATAGTGACATGGAGGAGATCGTGTGAAGAGAGAGGAGTTGAAACAGTATGGACTAAGTAACATGGATGCAGGTGAAAAGTACAGCAGCAGAAGACAGAAGTGGCAAGTGAAGACGTGCAGTTGAAGCCCTATATTCCACTAGGAACCCAAGGGAGCAATAATAAAATAATAATATGTAAAGTAATGATACTTGAGAAACTGTTTTAACTTACCGATTGGTACAAACATTGATCTAGATAAAAATGGAAATGATAGAAAAAATATAGTCCTCTCGACATCGACATCATACATTTGTCGATAAAACGACTGCATGCAAACTGAAGAAATTTGAAAGGTCCAGTCATCAGCAGCATATGTGAATAAAATAGCATATACAGGACGTGAAGTGAATATTTTTTGCCATGGTATTTTTGTATATCCTTGTGTATAGAATATTCGATTTGGTATTGTTGATTTTAAAAAGTTCAACTCACGTTTACCTAATTTTTTATCTTTATTTGGTTTCTCGTCAATCAGCCTCCACCAAAATATACACCATATTAAGCCTAAATTAGCGTATATATAGAAAACAACACCCCAACCCCATTTTTTTTCTATTTCAGCGCATACAGGTAAACCGATTAAAGGGCCAAGGGAAACACCGATTACAGCTAAACACACGAGAGTTGAACGTTCATTCTCTGGACTCCAAAATCGTAATATACCAAATACAGCGGGTATCAAACATCCTTCAGCTAAACCTTGTATTAATCTTAACAGGATAATCATGACAAGTTTAGCATTGATATTATTACCGATTGTCTCGACAAGTGGCAGGAAAAGATTCATTCCACAGGTGATAGCCACTGAACCACCGAGTAGGAATGATGAATCATAATTGACAGTTAAATAACCACCAATTGGACTAGTAATTAAATATGCAAAAAATACAGCATTCTCAACAATATCATTTTGAATCGCCTCTGTCCACGGCATTTTCCGATGTTCTGATGGTTTAAATATCAGTGAAGTAGAGTAACGTGATATTTCATTCACTTGATGTGGATCATGGTGTAATTCTTCGCCTTGATTTAAACTTCCCTCCATATTTATGTCATCTTCTGGTGATATAATTAAACTGCCCAGATTTTCATCTTTCTGATGTTTAAATAATAATATTTCCCCTGGTTGACTGTGTCCAATAAAACCATGTCTAAATCCAAGTGTGACACGATTATTTGTATTGTTCAGATTTGTAATAATTCCCAGCATTTCAGATCGCATTCCAATCACCACTGTAAGGCATGCACAGCATAGAAAGGCTATAAGATAACGTTTACGTCCTGGACCACAGAAACATGTATTCTTTGTCGATGCCTGTCTAGTAGTCACCAAATGATTCATATGATCTCGACTGAATCCAATTTCCCATTGATTACGATTTTGCATCTTGCTGGTTGTACAATATTCAGAAGTACCAGAACCAGTTAACAGCTGGCCATTTGTATGGAATCTATCCTCATTGATGATGATATTAGTTGTTGTCGTTGCTGTCATGATATCTGGTAATTGTTTATTAAAGGATTTTTCATTTGGATAGGATATTAGCGGATGTTTATTCACATTGTGTATTTCTGTAGCTGTAAGATTTTTCAACTGGGGTAGACCAGTGATCGATGGAGCACGAAAGGAATCGAAGGAATTCGGTGAAGAGTTAGACGATGTATTACTGTGAAGATTATCACTATGATTGTCATTATTATTATTAATATTATGATTGTTAGTAATAGTATGAAGGGAATTCAGAGAGGAGACTTCACCGTCGCATGTATGCATGATTCAGGTCTGATATAAATCCACGGTAGTAGTCGTAGTATATATATATATATATATATGTTTTTATATATTATTTTTGTAACTAATTATTACGTTTTGTAATTACAATAATGATACTCTGAGGGGGAAATGAAATTAATATTCATAAATATCCATTATTGCATCAAAAGTAGATAAATTGAGCACCGATAATTTCGTAGGATTATTATCACTCTTATGATTGCTATTTTTGTATCACATAATTATTCATAAAGTTGTATTAGATTTTACAAATTTTATCTATTTATTACATCGCATTTCTGGACAATAACAGTGATAACGATAGTAATAATAATAACAACAGGGGTGTTATTTTTTAATATTCACCAAAGGAGAAGAAGTGTAAATATGCATTTCAATACCCTGGAGGGAGAGCGAGAGAGAGAGAGAAGAATTACAGCAACTAGAGTGTTTTGTACTCACTCCATTAGTGGAGGACAAACATGTGTATGTGTATTTGTTAAAACAAACGATTTGTGGGTTTTTTCATATTCCCCCATTACTTAGAATTTTATTTAGTTATTTGTTGGTCTTGGTGTTGGCGTTGATCTTGGTGTTGTTGTTGTTGTAATGTCCGTTATTTATCCAATTTATATCCAATAAATACTCAAGCGTTAATATGCTAATGTGTATATCTATTGAGATTTATTATTGTTACTATACCCAAGAAGTTGTTATAGCCTCGTCTATTTATTGGTCCGTATACACAATGTGAGCTAAATAGTACCGAAACAAAAAATGTGGAGTATTCACGTGATTGGCTGCTATATCAGTGTGGATAGACGGACACATTTTACGTGTGCTGTCTGTCTCTCCATCTATCTCATTAAGCATTTGTATTTAACCAATCAAATTGTCTGTTTGTCTATTTATCTATTTGTTTGTTTCGATTGCTGATTTCTTCAATTTCTTTTTTGTCTCTGAGGAAATGTTTTATTGCCCATTATATTTAAAGGATAATCTTGTTCTGAATGTCGAAGGCAAGGGTGTTTTAGCTTCGACAGATAGATAGAGAGAGAGAGAGAGACCGAACACAATAATATGTGTGTTCCCATAGGACTCTGACTATTGTGTTATCAATTTATGATTTAATCTGTATACAATAATGTGCATTTAATATTCTTTATTCTTCTGGTTTTTGGTTTTTACTAGACGAAAATACCCATTGAGGCTTGAAGAAAATTTCGTTGATGATAGTAATATTAATATTATGAACAAGAATATGTACTCTTTTGACGTAAACTCGTTATTTACTAATGTGCCTTCGATCAAAACAGTTGACATTTTGTGTGATTATATTTCCACAAACAATATCTTCATCCCGTTCCCTATATCTTATTTAAGGGATTTATCCCTTTTTATGTACTAACAATGTTAGGTTTACATTTCGAGGCGATTGTTTCCGCCAATTTGATGGTGTTGCTATGGGCAGTCCCTTATTGCCCCTTTTAGCAGATATTTATGTGTCGTACATCCAGAATTTATCGGAGGATTTAATGGAAAATGTGCCGCTTTATAAAAGGTATGTAGATGGCATTGTAATCATCAGTGATTAGTCTCGTTCTGCCACCTCAATTTTAAATTGAATGAATGAATGAAGTTCAGCATAGCATATCGCTTACATCTGTAGAAAGGGAAGATAATTGTTTATCTTTCCTAGACATATTGCTTAGTCGACGGCTTGATGGGTCAATAAAAAGATCTATTTATAGAAAACCTACCTAGACAGGACAGTATCTCAATTACCACAGTTCTTGCCCTGTTCCGTACAGAAGAGCTTTAGTGAGTGAGGTGCCTCTTCAGTAGAATCCAACGAATATGCGCTGAAGATACACTTGATTAAGAAGAAGGAAAGTTGACACAAACTCTGGTTGATAACAATTATCCAGATAAGTTCATCAGGAGATATAAGGTAGTCAGTGGAACACCAAGACGCAGTCTACAACTCGCCTGTAAGAAAGACGTGTATAGCAAACTACCCAATATGGGGGGGGCATCAAAGCAGCTTGATGACTAGACAAAGACTGAACGCTGCTATGGTTAAAAAGACTTTGTATACAGCTAAGATTTAAGATAAGATAAGATAAGCTTTATTCCAAATCAGTACTTGTGATACAGAATGGAATTCTCAGCATTTTACTACAGTATTGCATCCAGTTAGTAAATTAACAATAAATATAGTTCTACACAGATTAAGGTTATCTCAGTCAGTTTTGACAACAACATATTAGCATGTCGGTAGCAGAGCCAAAATTTAAACAGAGTGTTTCACGCCTAATGCTTTCTTTATCGCACAGAACTCGAGCTAGGTAGGGTATGGATGAGTTTTTGTACTTGCTTGTGCGGGCATATAGTTTCCTATATAGGCTTCTGGTTTTCCCTGAAGAGATACATGGGGAGAGTTGTGAATGTAGAGGGTGTTGTGAGTCAGATAAAATGGATTTCGCCCATTTTTCACATGAGTCCATGTACCTGTCCACCAGAATATTAACGAGCTGGCTAAGTGGCAAACTGCTTACCCTGCTGACAACCTTTAACATCCTACATAATAAGGTATAGTCTTTCTTCAGTAGCCCAGGAAAGACTAAGGGGGAACAATAGAGAATAATAGGCAGAATACGGAAGTTAACAAATTGTAGGAGTGATATCCTAATAATTGAGAATATGAAGCCAATGTATCTATCTAAGCCTTTCGAACGTGCGAAAAATGACGTAACATCCCACTGTATTTACCAGTTTGAATGTACGTGTGGACACACATACATGTAGGGAGGACTCATAGATCCCTGCAAATAAGGGCTGGCTTCAGAGCACATTCCTAAATGGCTCCAGAAACAAATGGATTCTTCAGAACCTATTAACGGTGAGAACAGGAGACCTAGCTCTTCTATTGCGAAACATATTATAGAGACAGGTCATAAAATTGATGTTAACAGATCTTTTAAACCTATCTATAAAACGTGTTTGTGGCGTATCCTGAAGTTTGTGGAAGCCCTAGCTGGCAATTAGAAAGTTCAAGCCACCTTTATGCGTTCAAAAACAATTTGTCATCACATTAAACCTTCTTTGGTAAATTTTGTTTTGATACCATAGCAGATGTACTATTACCTCTGTTATTTGGTTTAGTGGTCTTCATTGTTATTTTGACCTAGAATATGTCCTTTTAACTTGACCTAAGTGGTCTATTTTCTCACCTCTTACCTCTTTATTAATTTCATATATATTACTATGACAAGTTCGTGTGTGATGGATCAGATTGTTCGAAATGTGTTGCACAAATACCCATGACACGATTCAGACAAATTACGTCTTCTTATTGGTTTATCTAAAATTCCCTTTATCAAGGGAATCATTTTTAGGATGTGTTAACTTGTATAGTAGACCTTTATTACGTAAAAGGGGGGGTTAGGAGTTGACATAATTCATATAAAGACTTAAAAGTGGTTAGAAAAGAAAAAATTATAAAAAAAAACTACATACCACTCAACATTACAAAAGAAGCAGAAAGGATTACAAATTTGACTGAGAAGGAAGGGTAATTGAGTGTCCACTTAAAAAGAGTGTAAAAAAGAGTGAGAGATTATAATGAATTAATCATTAAAAATAAAAATAATAAAAAAAAGTTTCAGCGAACGACTAATGAAGAGGTTAGGATCATGGTAGAGTTTAAGTATTGTATTCAAAAATCGTCAGCACCCCGCCATACGCACCATATTGTGTCAGCCTTTGGCGTAAGTTTACCAAATGCTCAAGAAGTGAGCTAATAAATGTCTTGTGCTATCCTCTTGCTAACCATCACAGTTAATGCTGAGAGATACGATCGGAGAGTGTCTGTTTTTTATGGCCAATATAACTAACTCCATAGAAACAAGTTAATTGATGAAAACACATATTGAAGTTTGAACAAAGAAAGAAGAAACATTGGAGCAGAATAACCTGGATCAATTTTATTTCGTTGGTTCTCATCAGCTGCTTACAACCTTTATCCATTAGCAAGCATATTGTCAGAGCACCATAGTAAAATAAGGTGTTGAGATTTACAGGGTGTCTCAAGTGTTACGACATATATTTCTTGTTAGAGAGAAGTTTCTTGAAAAAAAAGTTAAATGACAGTTGTGTTGTTAGGGTGGTCACAAAACATAATTAGTAATAGTTACGTGATTAGATAAGAGGAGATCAAAATCTTACAATTTCAGTGCACATGAGGTCAGATGAGACGTTGATGACGTAATACAGCGAGCAGAACTCAGAAGATCAAGAAAAATTAGCTCTTAAGAAAGTCAAGCGAAAAATAAACCGGGGTGGGGGAGTGAAAAGACAAGGTAACAAAATTAACAATTAGAAAACAAAGAGTTACTAAGAAGTCAGTCACCAGGGTAATTGAAGTCCAACAACGGATTCTTTTTGGACACACAAATCAGGGTTCAATTTATTGCTTTAGCTTCAGAAAACCTGAGAAGACTTAAGGTTCTTTGTCTTTTAATTATTTTCGATGATTCAAGCACATCTACTCGGTGTCCTGTGTCATCAGGTGTTTGGCGATTGAAAAGCCTAAACAATTCAGTCCCTTTAACCGGACACTCCTTGGTACATGTTAGCAGAATCTGACGTAGGCCAAAATTGGCAGTTTATCCTTCACAGATCTAATAATCATTTGTTGTTGTAAAAACTGATGCATAAACCAACCGAAATAAAGGCTGCAGTATCACCTTTAAATTCGACGTTCATAAGTAGCAGTTTCCTCAGCAACCTAAATTATTAGAAAAATATAATTTATTTTCAACCTATTTATGTATGTTTTTTTTTACTCCTTCACATTTCTACTGGAGCATAGGGCTGGAGGCTTGAAGTTTCTGTAGCAGTGGTGATTATTTTTACAGGACGGGTTTGCTAGCCAGCCTCATGCCCAGCCTTTCCTTTTTATCAGGTTTTATTCCTGGCTCAGCGAGGTTTGGGAGTGAGTCTGTGGCCCGGTATCGAACTCCAGACCATGTGAATGGCCGGTAAACGTCCTAACCGCAGTGCCACCAACGCACTATTTATGTATGTATGACAGACAGATAAAATTACCAGTAAATCCTTCTGTTTTTCCAGCAGTTTTTCTTCAGAAATAACTTTACTTTCGTGTCGCTAAAAGAATACAACTTCAAATCAGAAAACTTACTGTAATTATTAAAAAAAACGTCTGATGGTGAATAATTTGTTGGTGACTAGAAGTGTTGGAATCCTAGATGATGCGCATATTGACCATGTTTGATTCTGATACTCGTTCTCTGAATGTATCTGCGTTCCGCAGTGAGTGATGGTTTTCTCACTGAAACTAGAACGCAATATACCCATCGTGCATCGAGTGCCAAAGGAGTATCCACTAGACCAGCTGGGCCATAAGCCGGGTCACCTCTTGTACATCATGTCCGAAATAGGATAAAATCAGCATCCTGGATTCCACTGCTACTAACTATCTACCAGTTGAATTCAAGTTACCTGGCTGGATATCGTCAAAGCATGCGCAAAAGGAGCCGGCATGTCAACCTGAGACCAAGCTCTTCGGTTCAATCAGTCAACGATAAACATCTAAACTGAATTTTGAAAAATTCTAATAGGTTCTGAAATTTTATTAAGAAAAACCCTCATCAATAAAATTGATGAGATAAACTGGGAAAACAAAAAAGAGAAGAGCGTTGGTGGCACAGCGTTAAGGACTCTCGCCGACTATGCACATGGTCCGGGATTCGATCCCCAGCCGACGCACATTTGATATCTATAGTAGGCCTGCGAAATTTGGGCTACCGATATCACATGCTGAAAATTTCATACTTGTATTAAAAATACGGCGTGGAATCAAGCTGTAATAAAAAATTTAAAAAATTTAAAAAATCATATTGTTTCAATGAAAGAAACAAAAACACCAACAACAAAAAGAAATGTATCACAGTGACACAGTTTAGAACACAATTCATTATTGTTCATAATCATTCCATCAGTTATAATCACACGACTTTGGAAATTCAGTTTTATAGTTTTCTTTGCTGTCTCCTATTTGTCGTAATAGGGATAGTAGAATATTCCAGATATCTGGGTGGACAGGTGTTGGGGTATTCCTATTACATGTATTCTCTCTGAGTTGATTCGATAAACAAAGCATCCCCTGTTATCAATCTCTCCCTCCACCCTGACGCTACATTAGATTTCAAAACCGTCATCTTATCCCTTCCATCCTATTGTATGGTTGTGTGTAAATGTATGTAGCGCTATAGCTGAACTGTTCTCTAAATTTCTTATCTTATTTTTCGGATCAACCAATCTAGATTTTGCTAGGGTTTTATGCTCCGTTAGTCTGACTCGCTGCACCTTTTATACTGATTTGACCTATGTATTTGACCTGACAATCATTGCAGACAGGGTATTACACAAACTGAATTGTTTTGTTTGGAAGGCTCCATAGGATTGATTCCTCAACCGGCAAAGCTGGTTTCTAATTGAGTTTGTGTGTGATTGAATGCCATCCACTTTTATTTGTGCTAGCCTTGTTAAGAATTTCGTGTAAGGTTTCCAAGGTTCCTTCCTTGTATGGAATTACTACTGATGATTTGGATACCTTATTGTTGGTGTTGTCATTTTCTTGTGCATGTTTGACATGCATGTCGTCTTCAATACTATTACTATTATCATTATTATGATCACCATAAGAACTAATTTTATTTTTACATATCCCTACATAGTTTCTGAATAATTTATCAGTGTAATTATTAAGTTTCAAGGCTTCTCATATATGCCTCACTTCCTGTCTTATATTTGGCTTGGTAAAACTAAGATTTTGTGCTCTGTCACTTAAACATTCCACCACCAGTTGTATTTTTACTGACATACATTGGGTGGAATGATCGGAAATCCAAATATCTGTTTTAATGTGTGCGTTTCCTGTGAACACTAATGTTTAACTTCCCATATTCTTTCCTTTTTACGCTATAAACCAACATTGGAAGCTCCCTCCTGTATGGAATTACTTACTACCACAGTGCCCAAGTTTTACACATATATTAAAATGAAATGGTCTGACCTCATGGATTTAAAGTAAGCCGACTGTCATATCGTATTAGGTTAAGTATCATACTTGTTTCTTTGTTATATCGTCGTGTTGTACAAATCCTTTCAAGTTGAAATAAGCATATAAAAACACATAAAATAGAAAATATTTATTCAGTCAACCTTAAATGTTTTATTCAAGACTGATGACTGATGAATAATGACATGCGTAACTTTTCGCTCATAGTCAACTGGACAGCTAACAGTCATCAAATTGCAAAACTGTCTGTGGGAAACATTTAATCTCACATCACAAAGTAACGCATACTTGAAAATAAAGTGGGAAAGTTATAAGATCAAGGATTAAATAAATACGCTATATTTATAGGTCGACTTGAGGCTCGTTTGTTTGCAATTAAAATTCCAATGTCAGGTTTATAAGTTTGGAATCAGTTCGACCTAATTAGATTTATAAAACACAAAAAAATTGAGCAAGGAAAATCCTTCACGATAACTTCCTCCTTTTCTGGCTCTAAAACTATATATGTATGAATGCTTGTATACACAGAATATTCTAGAATAGTAGTCAATAACAATATTAGTGTTTTTTTAAATAGTATCGATTTGTAAAGTAAGATCAGAATGGAATTACCACAGTTCGTTAAAGATGCTTAAATAATAATAATAATAATAAAGATATAGTAGCGAATAGAATATAAACTAAAATTAGGAAAATTCCACAACAAACTGAGGATCATTCAAACCTAGGTGGCCAAGGTAATTATAATGTCTGAACTAACTTCTTTCGGATGCACAAATTAGGCTTGTCAATATGGATTCAAACAGCCTCATCAGTATTTAGTAGTCGAATTCTTAAGGTGAAATTGAGATTTGTCGGTATGCGGTAAATTGCCCTGAGAGCATGGTTAACATCAATCCACAAGATGAGATAGAATAGCGCTACGAATAGAATTTGTTTGTCCTCTACGTAACCACTGATGCAGGGTGATGTTCGGAAATCCGACGAGATTTATTGTGGTTTTAGTCTCTGAGGTAGACAGTTCAGCTGTGAACCTTTCGTTGATCATCTCGACAACATTATAGATAAGATTTTGTAACGATAAATCACCCAGTGGTGTTATACAGTAATATTAAATGATGAGACGTCGTTTAGAGCACAAAATATTGCCACTCATAATCAAATCAAGTTATTCACACAACTTTTTTTCCTTCATTTACATACACGTGCATTGGTGTCACAGTAGCTAATACTCTCGCCGACCATGCACCTGGTGTGGGGTTCGTCCCTGTGCCGAAGCACATCTGATATCTACGGTTGGCCTGTAAGATTTGGGCTAACGATATCAAATGCTGGAAATTCCATACTTGCTTCAAAAGTACTATATAGTTTCAAGCTATAATAAAAAACTGAGTGGAATCGATGATTAGACATTTGAATATAAATCAATGTGAGATAATGTAAATTCAGAAATAATAATAATATGAGTGTTATCGTTCCAGTACAATCAGATGGGAAATAAGTTGAGTGACTGTATTGTCAAAATAAGTAACTTCAGGATTTCATCATGAGCTGACATTAGTTAGAGAACCATTGGAAAATCTGGGAGTGCTGGACAGCTGTTTCGTCCTAGTTTGGGACTCTTCACCAGTAGGCACCCCCCACCACGGTTCGAACCCAGGACCTTCCGGTTACAAGGCTAGCGAGTTCGTATACCATTAAGCCACTGGGACCCGATCCAATGGTCCTTGAATTCTAACTTCTGCCAATTCACGACATAGCGCGACCGCTAGCCAATGTCTTCTATGGCGAGTATTTGTCCTCACATCCGACCCGCTGCACCCTACTGGTCACGACTTCCCAATGGAACGCAGTTAACTACCTACCTGAAAAGGGTAAGTCGCTTGTGATTTTACTGATTGACTGACTGGTGGTGATACTATTTTCCTTTCTTGTTGAATCCTTTGTTCTGCACAACAATGAATGAATCAACTGGGTTGGTTTGTGGTCTTTATCTATTCCAAACGGGTTTTCTTTTGTATTCAATCCGTCATTTCAGAAACACACTATACACACAGTAGGATGAATTTTCTTTTGGTATCTAAGGCTTGTCCCTTTCTGCTTGCGTTCATGTAATAGATCTCGATATCGTTGGAGTAAGGTTTTGCAGGAAAATTCATCAATTCGCAAAACTCCAGATCACAGATATATATAATAAGATAGAAACAGAAATGCGCGATACTGCCTTTCTAGTCCCCGTGGTCCTGAACAAACAAGATTGCAAGGAGTGTTGATATATATAAATTTATCATTTGGAGAATGTTTCACAAACAAAGTCTATGTTCATAATACGTGTCGGTCAAGATCTGAACAAAATGCCGAGTGTTCTCATTGCTTGAATACATATTTCACAATGTCCTCTTCTCGACACATATCTTATGTTGCTCGTGAAATATTCCCTGCTTGCTTATTGGCGGGAGTTGGTATGGTAGTCGCAGGCTGTTATGTTGATATGTTGAAGTCTTCTAGCATTTTTAATTCCAGTGAGGCAAATATTTTCGAAATCATTCCACCTGTTCTTGGACTTAAAGGAAATTTAGAAGTTGCTCTTTCTTCTCGACTTGCCACTGTGGTTCATTTTAGACGAAAGTTTAGTGAAATTTCATCCTGGTTGTTTACAACCACATTGGCTTTTATACTGATTCTTGCAGTTCTTGCAAGCATCGCCATTCCTGTAGTGATTACAACTGTGCATATTTCAACATCACTAATATCCTACTCTTCTATTAATATCGCCCATCTTATTTGTATTTCATCAGTAACTTGTGTTTGTGCTTCATGTTTAATAAGTGTTCTAGTGTATGCAATAGTATGCGCATGTGTGTTCTTCGGTGCAAATCCTGACAATATTGCTCCACCGGCAGCTGCTGCTTTAGGAGACCTTGCAACAGTTTTGATCATGTCACGTGTAAATGGCTATTTTATGAAATATCCAACTTTTACTTTCATTGCTGCTATATGCATAACCTGCATCGTTCTTTTCCTAAGTATTGCCTACTTATTGTATCACTCCAATATGCATATATCGCCTGAATTTAGCAATCTTGTTATAACATCTACTACTTTCAAGGAGACTATCGTTCCATTGATTTTGGCAATTATTATGAGTAGCATTAGTGGAAATATTTCGTCACGATTTCTGGCCGATCTACCTGTTGTTGCTCGCCTTCAAGTTCCAATTAATGGCGTTGGTGGAATTTTCGCTGCAATGTTAATTAGTAGAATGACAACACGTCTGCATTCTATCACCTGTTCTAAAAAGTTTTCTTTAAAACAATCAGTGTTTGCTTCTCCTACTTTTTCACCTTCGCCGTCTTCAACGACACCAACAACAACAGCAACTACTACTAATACATGTGTAATGTTTGAAAAATCAAGGCGTCATGTTCCTAGTGAAGAAGTTTCCTCCTCTGGTCGGATATCTGTGGTCGGCCTGCAAAATGTGGGCTACCGATATCATATGCTGAAAATTCCATACCTGTACCAAAAATACGGTGTGGAATCAAGCTGTAATAAAAAAAATTGAACGGAATGTTTGAAGGCGTTAAAAAGTAGGTACTAGCATATTTTCCGGTGTAAGCGGTAACAAAAAGGTCGAGATATACAGAGTGTGAAAGAACGAATTAGAATGTTTTAAGTAGAGTTGGTAAGGAAGAAAGAAACAAAGCACAGCACATAACAGAAAAAAAGAGAAAAGGAAAAGAAAGAAAGAAAAACGTTGTACCTATACATGATATGAGTTTGAAAGACGAGATCCAATTGTTCTACGGACTATTTAATAAGTTATAAGTTTCACGCCTAATGATTTCTTTATCACACAAAACCCAAGCCAAGTAGGGCAAGGTTGAGTTTTTTTATTTGCTAGTGCGAGCGTGTAGTTATCTGTGTAGGCTTCTGGTTCTGCCTGATGAGATAGGTACAAAGGAATAGTTGTGAATGAAGAGGGTGGTGTGAGTTAGATAGATAGAATGGATTTAGCCCATTTTCCACATGAGTCCAAGTGGCTGTCTAGCAGAATAATAAAAAGCTGGTTAAGTGGCAGCTTGCTTACCCTGCTGACTTATCATCTAGTTAAGGCACTTGAGGCAGTTATACACTCGGATGTTTCGCCCTAAGTGTTTTGTTAACTAGATAATTCAACCAGCATGTGCTTAATACTAAAAGGCTTGTTGTCTCACATAGTTTTTTATCAAACCCAATGTTTCTCATGCAAACACCAGCGCTGAAAGCTTTACCTGTCTATCTGCATTTCACGTTATTGTTATTATTATTATTATTCAAAGTCCTGCAGATATTCAATGTTCCCGCAATGTCTATCATTCTAAACATCTGAAACATATTCACTGATAAATACTGTTTAAAACCACATGTGACTGACTGACTGTTTACTGCCTGTTATTTCTTTTCTCATCTAAGCAATCTCACCAACCCAAAGCATAATGAATAATTTCATCCGGATAGTGTTCACTAATTCACTCATTGAACGCTTAAGTATTTTTAGTCGATTAATAAATTGTTTAATGACAGGAAAAAAAATAAAATTCTTAATCCTCTCTAAGTAGCTTAAGTCACTGAGCATTAGTGAAGTGTAAGACAAAGAAAACCACATTTTGAATAATCAATAACACTTGAATAAACCTCTGATATTTTTCCTCTGAATTGTATATATATCTTGTGTTGAATACAGTTCAGTTTATTCCACTTATTGATTTACTCGACTGAGGAGGGAAAAACATCATGTTAACTGCAATAACAGTGATAAAAACATTAATTTACACGATTATATGACGAGCTGATATCGGTTAGAGAATCATAGTTCCAGTCGGGAATTCTTCAGCAGTACACACATACAGACAAAGATCGAATCCACCACCTTCCGGTTACAGGGAGAGCTCGTAGGTCATTCATTTCATGAATTTCAACTTCTTCCAATTCAAAAGATACCATGATCACTAGCTAATGTCATCCGCGTGTATCTGTTCTCGAAACCGACCTGCTGTACACCCTTGCGGTCAGGATGTCTCACAAAACACAGTTAAGTAATGAGCGCTATATTGTGAATTCGCAGAAATTAAAAATTCATAGTCTGGCAGGCGTTGAATCGGATATCTTAATGGTATACAAGCTTGCTTTGTAATCAAAAGGTCGTCGGTTCGAAACACTGTCTGTGGATGAACACAGTTAAAGTCGCAGGCGGGGACGAAATATCTATCCAGCACCCCATGGCTGGGTTTTCTAGTGGTTCTCTAAATGATAACAGCTCATGATGAAATCCTGTAACCAAACAATCAAAATGGAATCCTTGCTAACCAACACTTAAATAAAAACACTATATAAAGAGAATCGTAATCTTTCATTTGACTCTACAACTTGTGCTTTCATAGCACGTTGTTCCTGTTCATATTATGTTTTTATAACTACCTGAGGGGGACGGGGGTTTCGGTTGTGATTAAGTACATTTTTAAGTATAAACAGGGATTAGAAAAAAACAGTGAGCAATGAGAATGCTAACGGTTAAATGAGGCTGAAACAGCTAACAGTGTAGAATTCGGCTTAAAATATTGACTGTCTAGCTATTCGTGTTCCTACTAGTCTGATACACTCGTCGCATTGATCCATGCACTTATCCGTTTGAGATTCTCTATAGAGGTCGGTATGATTACATTCATATGAAGGAAACGAAAAGGTAATTATATATATATATATATATTATTGCATTATTATTATTATTAGTTTCTTGTAGTTCGTAGAAGAACATGTGGCTTCAGCTGCACCTCTCCATTGCGTTCAGTTCTCTGCTAAAGCTTTCACATAGCTCAACGTCTGTCCACATGCTTTCATCTCCTCTTCACGTCAACTCCTCCAAGTCACCCCTGGACAACCAAATCACCGCTTCCCATTCAGATGGGTTCCACTCGAGGGCTTGTCTATTGACGTCACTTGATAGTTTCCTCAGAGTATGGCCAATCCATTTCCATTTATTCCTGCCTATTTGTTGCACAGGTGGTTTCTGCCCTGTTGATTCGCTCATTGTCAAAGATCCTTCCCTGTTGCTGATGTTTTCTGGACATCTGATCTTGAGCGAAGTATTGAGCGAACACAGCTGTTGATGAAGGTCTATAATTTGTTTAGGTGCTCTTCATGACACACCAAGTCTCTGGTCCGAAGAGTTAGTAGCACTGAATTAACATTGGAGTTGAAAATCTGGATCTCAATTTCTATGCTCTGTTCTATTCATCTCCATACGGGCTTGAGAGTAGTGAAAGCTCGCTTTGCTTTCCCGATCCTCACTGCTTTGATATCCTTGTCAGTTCCGTCCGCTTGTATTTGAAACGATGCTTCTCAGGTAGGTAGGTAAAGGAAGTTGCTTCTTTCAAATTTCTCCCATTTATGCTGGCTGATTGTTGTCTGTTGTTGTTGTTGCTGTTGTTGTTGGCCAGCAATCTTCATCATCTCTGCTTCTTTTATGTTCACTTGAAGTCTTATCTTTGATGCTTCTTCTGCCAACTTGTCACTTTTCACTTAAATATCTTCCAGTTTGTGGGAAATCAGACATATATCATCGGCGAAGTCCACATCCTCCAAGTTTTTTGTGTGAGTCCATTTAATGACTGTTTTAATGACCATAATGACTGTTTCCTCATCGCCTGTTGTCTGTCGCATTATCCAATATACCGCAATCCGGAAGATCATTGGCCATAGTAGACAGCCTTGCCTCACTCCCGTCCTCACTTCGAAGGATTCCGTAAATTTCCTGTTATGGATTACTTGACATGCAGCGCTGTCATACAACTTTTGGATGAGATGTATAATTGCTGGTGGCACCCTGTAGTAGCGACGTAGTTGCCAAATTACCTCTCCATCGATGCTGCCGAAGGCTTTTGCAAAGTCGATGAAGTTGAGTGAGGTGGAGAGGTGACTGCCATTCCAAGCAATGTTCAATGATGGTCTGTAGTATGGCGATTTGATAGATACATAACTTGTTCTTCCTGAATCCACCCTCTTCCGGTTGAAGGTTTTATCCATGGCTTGTTTGATTCTCTCGAGGATGATACTGCTTAGTATATACATATACATATATGACTGATTGTATATAAAAGACATATATTGATAGTATACTTTAAACTATTTTTAGCTTTTAAACATATACATACTCAGGTATACTTGTTATTCTTATGCTTTAAGACTGTGTTAAATAAGCTGCCTAAAAATAGTTCAATTTATTAAATCATTATTTTGTTCGATGTGATATATAATTAAATAGAAAGTCTCACAATAAAATGATAATAATTATAATAATGGTATGATTAGATGGTTGGCCTTTAAGAAATTCTCTCTTCATTAACACTATTTATCTGTTCTGTATTTAGGAATTTTCGGATAAACAACTCATAAGTGGGGATATTTATTCATGTCACCTAGCGTATATATATATATATATATATAAAGGGTAATAAAGAAGTATGTGGTGTCACATGTGAAAGTTTTAGAGGCTGATACGTTGCTTTAGGAGATGGATGGGATGCACACCGCGAAGACTTCGAGTGGTATCACCCAGCAGGTCATGGTTCCAGCGGAAACCGAATGAGGAAAGCCGAAATGAGTATCAGTCCGAATATGATATGGAGAAGATCGCATGAGGAAGAGACGAAAGCTAATAGGCTAACGTTATGTCTGCTGAAGACGACTGCTGATAACAAGAAAAAATGAAGACTTGTTTTTCAAACCTTAAGTTCCACTCGGACCAAAAGGAGTGATGTCGGCAACAGAGCCAATGAAAACCGGGGGGCTATTTGTCAGCTGTTTCATCCTGGTTTAGGAATCGTCAGCTGTACACGCCTACGACCACAGCGAGATTGGAATCCAAGACCTTCAAATTGCGCAACCAAGGTATTTGATCATTCCGCCACTTGAATCAAAATCCAACTGGCAATTTTGGCGCGACCACCAGCGATAATGTTGTCAACCTGGTGGATCACACTGGTCACAAATTCTCACTAGAAAGCCAGGTGTTCCAACCCATTCAAACAAGTCTTGTCATCGCAAAATATAGTGATATTTTAGCTTTTTTATTCCTTCACGTCACCAGTGGAACATAGAGCTTCAAGCTGCGTGCTTGAAGTTTCTGTAGCAGTGTTTACTTTACAGGATGAGGTTGCTAGTCTCATGCCCAAACGTTTCTCTTTACCAGGCTCCATTTCTGTTTTAGCAAGGTAAAGGAGTGCGTCGGCCGGGGATCACATCCCGGACCATGTGCATGGTTGGCGGGCGTCCTAACCGCTGTGCCAGTGACGCACCACACTTAAGATATAATTTACTAAATTATTTAAAAGAATATGCATCGCAGATAGTGAATGGCGGGATAATATTTCATTCTCAGGTTTAATTTAAAGTCTGATGTGGGTTTGTGCTAAAATGGCAAACTTCTCGCTTAGTGTGCACCTAATGTGTGTGTTAGATGGTGTTCGATACAGAAAGACACATTTAGGAGTGTGATAGGCAACAACAGCTGTCTTCGCTTTATAC